CCCAAAATTGCTCCTAACGGAACTGCTACTGACCACACACACACACACACACACACACACACACACACACACACACATACACACACACACACACACACACACACACACACACACACACACTGAGTCAGGATAGTTGCATGTGTGTGCATGCTATGTGGTTACACACTGAGTCAGGATAGTTGCATGTGTGTGCATGCTATGTGGTTGAACTCAAATGATCTGACCCTTACTAACCCTGGTCAGTGTTTAACCGCTGGACTCCAACCCTAACCCCTGACCTATTCAATGAGCCGGCTCCTAAACCACACCCCCTTTATGACTGTGACCTACGCTGACCTCAACATTAACTCATCATGTCCTCCACACACACACACGATCTGAATGAAAATGATTCAGATGTTGGGGAAGAAATTAATCATGAAACTCTTTCTGATTCTGAGCCTCATCCTGAACCTCCCTAAGCGCAAAAAAGCCAGAATGAAATGAAACGGTGAGATAGGATAGAGGAAGAGACAGCACCGTTTTGGAAGATATTCACAGGGAAGCAGGTGCGCGACTGTCGGAGAATGTGGTGATGAAGCTTGTTGAACCTTAATTTGGCAATGGGAGATGGACAATTACTTCACTTCACTGTCATTGGCGAACAAGTTGCTTGCAAATAAAACAAGCCTAGTCGGCACCATTAACAAAGCGAGACGGGAGGCACTTGCACAGCCGTTGTACTCCACAGTGGTGCTGAAGAATGACAAGACAACACTCACACCATCCCAATGCAAGGCTAGAACTTGACTTGCTATGACACGTTCAAGCAGTGAATGAACAACACCATGCCCAGGAGATACTTCATCATGAGTATAGCATACTGGCCACGTGAGAGACATACACTATATATATACAAGTATGTGGACACCCCTTCAAATTGGTGGATTTGGCTATTTCAGCCACACCCGTTGCTGACAGGTGTATCAAATCGAGAACACAGCCATGTAATCTCCATAGACAAACATTGGCAGTAGAATGGCCTTACTGAAGAGCTCAGTGACTTTCAACATGGCACCGTCATAGGATGCCACCTTTCCAAAAAGTCAGTTCGTCAAATTTCTGCCCTGCTAGAGCTGTCCTGGTCAACTGTAAGTGCTGTTATTGTGAAGTGGAAACGTCTAGGCTCAGCCGCGAAGTGGTATGCCACACAAGCTCACAGAACGGGACCGCCGTGTGCTGAAGCGCGTAGCGCGTAAAAATAATCAGTCCTCAGTTGCAACACGCACTACTGAGTTCAAAACTGCCTCTGGGAGCAACGTCAGCAAAATAACTGTTCGTCGGGAGTTTCATGAAATGGGTTTCCATGGCCGAGCAGCCGCACACAAGCCTAAGATCACCATGTGCAAAGCCAAGCGTCGGCTGGAGTGGTGTAAAGCTCGCTGCAATTGAACTCTGGAGCAGTGGAAACGCGTTCTCTGGAGTGATGAATCACGCTTCACCATCTGGCAGTCCGACGGACGAATCTGGGTTTGGTGGATACCAGGAGAACGCTACCTGCCCGAATGCATAGTGCCAACTGTAAAGTTTGGTGGAGGAGGAATAATGGTCTGGGGCTGTTTTTCATGGTTCAGGCCCCTTAGTTCCATTGAAGGGAAATCTTAAAGCTACAGCATAAAATAACATTCTAGACGATTCTGTGCTTCCAACTTTGTGGCAACAGTTTAGGGAAGGCCCTTTCCTGTTTCAGCATGACAATGCCCCTGTGCACAAAGCGAGGTCCATACAGAAATGGTTTGTTGAGATCGGTGTGGAAGAACTTGACTGGCCTGCACAGAGCCCTGACCTCAACCCCATCGAACACCTTTGGGATGAATTGGAACGCTGACTGCGAGCCAGGCCTAATCGGCCAACATCAGTGCCCGACCTCACTAATGCTCTTGTGGCTGAATGGAAGCAAGTCCCCGCAGCAATGTTCCAACATCTAGTGGAAAGCCTTCCCAGATGAGTGGAGGCTGTTATAGCAGCAAAGAGGGGACCAATTACATATTAATGCCCATGATTTTGGAATGAGATGTTCGACGAGAAGGTGTCCACATACTTTTGGTCATGTACCTACTACTACTACTACTACTACTACTATGAGCAGGTGTCCACATACTTTAGATCATTTAGAGTATGAGGGCCAAGGCTCCCAGGAGACAGAGCCAGGTGGCCTGATGCACAAAGAACAGAATCCAAGACAACCTGCAAGCGACGTATTTGTGGGAAGTGTGTCAAGCAACTGAGCGTGGTGAAGATTTGTGTCTACTGTTAGGACAAGGGATAACCGCTAAATGAAATCCAACTGATGCCATTGCTTGAAAACGCAGACCATGTAAGCACGAGCTGACAATAATTGACAATTTGTTACTGCTATCATTAAATTCTCTGGCAACAGCTCTGGTGGACATTCCTGCAGTCAGCATGCCAATTGCATGCTCCCTCAAAACTTTAGACATCTGTGGCATTGTGTTGTGTTACAAAATGGCACATTTTAAAGTGGCCTTTTATTGTCCCCAGCACAAGGTGCACCTGTGTAATGATCATGCTGTTTAATCAGCTTCTTGATATGACACACCTGTCAGGTGGATGGATTTCCTTGGCAAAGGAGAAATCCTCACTAACAGGGATGTAAACAAATTTGTGCCCAGAATTTGAGATAAATAAGATTTTTGTGCGAACCCGAAGAGTAGCTGCAAACAAATAAATAAATAAACATAATGACTCATGACTTCCTCTGAAGCTGCCTCCTGGTTCGGGCTTCGGCGTTCGTAGTCACCGGCCTTCTAGCCACTGCCGCTCCTCATCTCATCATTTC